TTCAATGTTTGATGCTTACTGGTTTAGTTACCTGAACTAGTTCCAGGGTGTATTATGGTGCTGTGCTCCAAAAACAAATCCTCTTGGAATTCTGAGCCTATGAGCTTGTTTCTAACTCATCAGGGAATCTACTAAAAGCTATTACCTCTTTCTACAAACCTTGCCTCTCACCTATCTTTAGGCCATCACCACCACAGCATACCTTCTTTCTCTTTTATTCCACCACAGTAAATCATGCAAATAAAGCAGTTCCCCTGTGCTTCATCCAGTAATCGCCTAACTGTATGCCCTGCTGCTAGCACTTAGGAAAACAATCAATGCCACCTTGGGAATTTGCCACTGTTGTATCTCCAAAGGCTTAACATCAGGGATGCAATCAAATACCCCCAAATCTGCTTTGAGGTCCTGTCATTAAGCAGCAAAGTAAGATACCTTGTTTTCTGGCAGGTTCTGTTTCTATCAGGACAGCTGCTCCTTGTGTGCAAGCATGGAGATGACAAATACCTTGTAAAAGCCTGAAGTGGTTTAGATGGATTAAATACTCAAAGGTGTATTTAATATTTTATTACTGTAGGGTTTTGTTGCACCGAGCTCGAGTTCATTCTGTGTCCAGGAGACAGGCTTCCTCAGACATGGAATATCATTAAGAGTTTGGCAGTTTTGCCAGGCTGGGAATTTCAGGCATGCTGAGGAAGGCAAGGGAAAATAAATATGAATTCTTTACACTTCAGCTATCAGTCATGGGTTGCCTTAAAGCTAGAGTTAGGGGTCAGTGCCCAAGTGCAGTGCCTGTTATGTGTCCAGGGGAAATCCCTCTCTAAGCTGCTCCAAGCAGATGTTCCTTTCACCCCAAAATATGCCACACTTGAATAGAGAGGGAAGGAGATGTGCCTTCACCTCTTAACATTAAAAAGCTTTAACATAAGTGCAGGCAGCATATTAAAATTAGCACAAATAAAAGAGGCCTCTGTTGGCGTCAGTCCATTTCCTCCTGAATTAAAAGAGACTCAAGGTCACCTTTTTCTTCATCACTAGACTCAAGATACAACAGCCAGTCAAAATACCACAAGACGTAACAGAACCATAACCTCGACCATGATCTCATTGACCATTGTAAATAGCTGAAAACAAAGTGGTTAGCCCAGCATGTCATGAATGGGCTAATGAAAGCCACAAGCAGGAAGCAACTGATGACATTCACATGTGTTTCCGAAACAAATGATCTGTAGACAATCCTAATCCTATTTGTTGCATGCTTAAAACAGATTTTACATGCAGAGGATGGTCCAGGTCCAGCACCTCTGCCCAAGGGATGCAGAGTGGCTGCAGAGCCCCAGAGTGCTGGGCTCCCCATTCCCAGGCTCTGCAGGGGTTTGGCAGCTGTGTGGCCTTCCTGGAGAGCTGCAGTCTTTGGGAGGTTGGGAGACATAACTGTAACTCCCAGTAATCACTGATCTAAAATGTGCTTTTGACAAATCTGCATGTCTGCCTCTTCCAGAAATGTTACTGAACCTTAAATTTAGCTCATTAGCCTTTAGCATTACCAACCTATCTATTCTTGACGAGAGCACATAATGAACTATGTGCATTATGGCTGTACATTTGTACAAGATTAAAGTCCATTTCTCTCTATATAGGTGCATGTGTATGCATAAGGACTCTAAAATTTAATGTACATAGAGGTTATTCAAAGAGGAATTAAACCTGCTTTCTGGGAGGCAATTAAGTGTTTACATTATTGATGCCTATAACTAATTAAACACTGAGGATCATTGACAGGTTCTATTAATCATGTGGACTGGAGATGCTCTACTTCCTCCTTTTCAAGGGGTATCAGCATTCTAAAACCTAAGGAGGGAACAGAAGGTACTGCTCCAGGGAAAGTTTCAAATGAACATCCTGATTTGAAGGGAAGAGAAAATGTAAATCTGAACAGAGATCCAGGGAAAGATTAGGTGTAAAAGCTATATGCTTCTCAGTTGCTTATTTTCCTCTTTGAAGGCAAATTTTGGGGTGGACATGTTTGCATTAGAACTGGTATTCACCTCTTGAGGCAGGTAAGCATTCAAATAGCACAGCAGATGGATGATACACAGAATGAGTAGACTTCTAAAGTCCAGTCAGGTGTAAATGGGTTTTTTCTTTTATTTCCTCACATCTGACACCAAATCCATAGTATCTGCCATGCCCATCATGTAAGCATGTGTTTAATTTCTACTTTATGAGCTTTCGAAATACTTGGGTCAAGTAAGTATTTCTTTCTGAGAGATGAGTTGAGCCTTAAAATGGAGGTACAGTTCTCTAGGGTGTACCAGGGTGTAAGAGCACCCTCCAGGCTGATCCAAACACAGGCTTTATCCGCAAAAGATTAATTTTTTCAACAGATTAGCAACCCAAGGACTCATTGGCATTTAAGAGGTTGATTTTCCAGTTCTCATGAGTTTCCAAGATATTGGTAGTGATTCTTGTGTGGGTTTTTTTCAACCTGTCTCCTGTAGTTCATTTAAGTTTCTGAAATTTATCTCCATTTGAGACTTTCCAAGTCTCAAAACTGCCATTAGTGGTTTTCCTCTCCTGCTTCCTTTCTCCCAGGTTTCAGTAACAAGACCCATCCTGCCACTGGACACGCGGCAGTGTAGCCTGGGTGTTCCTCTCTTACACCTACACTTGCACAGGATGCCACTCAGCATAGGTAGTATTTCCAATTAAGGATCAAAACCCACTCAACCATTTAACACTTTAGGATGTATTGCTGCACAACCAGCACATGATGCATTTTAATTGTATTTCTGCAAGCAGTTTTCATCCTCTATACAAACCATGCCCTGGTGATTTTATGCATGACCTCGATGTCTGACCCTCCAAGAGTCATGTAAAGAGAAATTATTTCCGAGCAATCCTGATAGATAAGACAGCCAGAAGGAGAGATTCAGGGCATTAGGCATGGTCTGTTCTCCAGCTGTGTATACCTTCAAGAGCTGGCTGCCTGAAAACATTGCACAAAGAGATTTTCTGTTGGAAAAGTGACATTTAAATGTGAGTTTTGAGAGGCCTTTTCCATCAGAAGTTGATTTCTTTTTTGAAGTTCAAATAATAAATCAAAAAACAGTTTAGTGAATTCAGAGGTAAAAAGAAGTCCTGCAAGATGGATGGAGACTGTATTCAAGTTAAATAGCACAAGTCTTGTGTGCAGTTTCTTCTAAGGAAGCAGTTTTCTGCCAGAGAAATGAGTTTCTTTCAGACTGATAGCCATCTTCAACTTCTGATTTCATCTCTACCACCTCCTTCTTTGTGGCACAGAGCAAAGTTCCTCAACATTTTTGCATCACCAGATTATTTTTGTGTGTCTGCAGAAGAGTAATGTAATATTCATCTGTCTATAAGTGCAAATCTGATAACATATTTAGTTTCTAAAGGTTACGTTTCACACCTCAGCTGAAGAAATTTTTTTTCTTACCAGATTCCTGGTGGTGGACTTGAAGGCAAAGATGAATTATGCAGATCCCTTGGGTGTATTTTCCACCTGGACCTGCAACATTATACTATTTAACTTGCATTATCTGGCACTCCTTCCTTCCAGTTGGTAACTGGGCTATGAGTGGTTTAGGTGGACAATTCCCCTTTCACGAGTTTAGCTTCTGCTTTACATATGTTACATAGGCACCTAAGGCTGTAACTAAATTAATACCATCAAAGGCAGTGTTTGATATTTCCAAACACACATCCCACAAGCAAAAACCCCAGAATATATCTTTATTCCACAGCACTTCTAGGGGTCTTCATTGTCTTCAGTGGGCTAATTTATTTATTTATTTATTTATTTTAACTGCTTTGAAGAGCTGCAGTAACCAGAAGCACACCAATTTAAACGCCACCTGTGAGTTGTCACCATATATTATTGTCTCAAGGTAGAGAGAATAAAGTAAAAAAAAGGACATAATGCAGCAATTATTCCTAGCTTGCCCAAGGCAAATCAGTCTTTGGCATGCATTTTTTGTCCAGGCTTGTAGGGATCTGTACAGGCTGAGATATGCTTGTGGGAGGGACCTCTGGCTTCTTCCAAGGTGCCTTGTATACCTTGTACAGCCTTTTCATGTTAGACAATTCTCCCTCAATCCCCCCAGGTTACCTAGGTAAGATTATTAGTGTGGAATATGATGACAAAACTATTCTAATCGGGAGAGAGTATCCTAGAGGATTATTTCCTAACAGCAACCTCACCTGTGGATTCAAAAACAGAAGCTGTGAAACTCTGCCAGCTATTTTCTTTGTCACCCTTGTGAATTTTGGAGCTCATAAAGCTTTGATGTTGATTGGAATACTTGATTTCCCTGTACCTGTCTAATATCATGATTATACTTTTGTATTTGATCAAAATGAGGAATGCTACACCAAGTACCTCCTGGCTTGATTTTTTTAAAAAAAATAATACTTAGGTGTTTTCCCAGGACTGGAGCACGTAGAAAGTAAGTCCTACTCCAAGTCTCAAGGTTAGCTTTTGTCATAAGAACAACTGTAATGACCTATTTTACACAACATTTTAACAGGTGGAAGTTCAGACTTTCTGTACTGAATTTCAACATAGCTGCAATCTTGCAGTTAAGAAATTATTAGCCCTGCAATTAGGTACCTTTAATTGAATCCCTGACACTTAATTATAGCAGTACTACAAACACACTATGAGGAACAGTAAAATCAACTATGACACACCCCTCCTAGGATTCCATTGGCTGGAAACTTGTTAAGCTTGATGGGTAGGCACTGTAGTCAGAGAGGAGTTCAAAGCAAATAAATAGCAGGTCCTTCTAGCCAGTCAGAAATGGATTTCCACTTGTCTGAACCTCAGACTGAAGCGAGCTGCTTCTGAGGAAACCCAGCTTGCTGTATGAGAAAACTACTGGAGAAAATATTCCCTCTTGTACTTCATATTACTTCTATGAATAAGGGATTTTGGAAGACTTCCGGGCCACCACGCTTGAGCTGTGTTTCTCACAATGAGCATGGCTTGCTGTGTTTTACAGATCACTGGCCTAATACTCGGAGGTGTCGGCATGATGGGGACTTTGGCAGCAACAGTTATGCCACAGTGGAGAGTTTCTGCCTACATTGATGGCAACATCGTCATGTTTGAGACCATCTGGGAAGGCCTGTGGATGGACTGCATCAGTCAGCTGGGCATCAGGCTACAGTGCAAGTTCTATGACTCTGTCCTGGCTCTCCCCCCACCCTTGGAGGCATTCAGAGCTCTCATGTGCATTGCTGTGGTCCTGTCAATCATTTCCTTTTTGATGGCCATTGTTGGTGTGAAGTACACTCAAAGGACCAAGGAGGATCCCCAGGGAGCCAGTATCTTCATACTGGCAGCTGGAGTTGCATTTCTCCTGACAGGAATCCTTGTTCTGATCCCTGTATCCTGGACTGGAGGGAGCATTATTCGTGACTTCTATGATCCAGAAGTCCCTGTGCCACTGAAACGAGAACTAGGAGCTGCTCTATATGTGGGCTGGATGAGCACTGCCCTCCTCATCGCTGCCGGAGCAATGTACTGTCACTTCTGGTGCTGGGCTGATACATCCTCAAAATCCAGGTATCCATTGCTTTCCCGGCACAGGCTGCACAAACCTGACAGTGCCAGAGGGCCCTGCCTAGGCATACATGCCTATGTGTAGCTGCTACCTGTGATCATAGAATCACAGAATGGTTTGGGTTGGAAGGGACCTTAAAGATCATCTAATTCCAACCCTCTGCCATGGGCAGGGTCACCTTCCACTAAACTAGGTTGGTCAGAGCTCCATCCAACCTGGCCTTGGACACTTCCAGGGATGTGGCATCCTGTGATCTTCCTGTTTAGCATGTTGGTGTTGATTGACTTCAGTGTCTGATGAAATTCTGAGTCTGTGATGGAGAAGCAATCTTGTTCCTTTGCTGCTTGCTATTGACACAGGTGTGTTTGCTCTCTAACATGCTTACAGGAAATGTTTTTACATGGAGTTTTGTTAGAGCACAGTCAGAAGAAAAATCTCACCATTTTGGGGGAATGAAGAATGCTGTGAGAACAGGAGCAGTCAGGAGGTTTTCAGAGAAGACAAACAGCATATGGCTGGGCTGTGCAACAGCATCATAGCCCTCCTCTAAACCCCTAATGTGCAAAGGGAGCAGTACTCTTCACTCTAGGATGATGTCTTCCTAAGGACTGCTCTAGGACAGTGACGTGAAGTGTGGAGGTGGCAGCATGGCTGAAGCAGCTGCTGAATGAGTGGAGAAGCCTCCAGCAATCTAACTTCCAATACTGGCACACAGATGTTTGTGCTATCCCAGCAGAGACCTCATGCATTTCACTGATGTTGTGGAGTTGATGTATCCTTCTCATGGAATAATAATATTTTTAATCACTTCACCAAAATTTGCCTCGAATGTCTTAGCTTTCCATTGCTTGCCACCTATCCCCTCTCATGGCTTCTCCTGTTCTATAGGTAGTACCCACTCCTCTATAAAATACAGGACAAACCACCTGTCTTTATGCACTTTCAAGCACTGTGCTAATGTAAAGTATAATTACACAAGCCAGGCAGCATAAATGTGCAATTCCCACTGGCCTGTTGGAGCATCAAGAGTTCCTGCCTACGACTTCCATCACACCCAGGAAAGCCAAGCCCTGATGCTGCTCTGATTGTTTTGTCTTTGCAAGGTTGATTTGGAAATGCAGACTGAGCAGCCTGTCTGTCCACCATGCAGAATCCAACAGTATTTGCAACTGTGCATGTTTTTTTTCTCAGCTGAAAACTTGGAACCTTCTTTTGACATTGTCCATGTCACAACATTGATAAGTGACCAAAGCAGGTCTGGTTCAAATATTTTTTCTGGTTCTTTACACAGTAGTAATGGATAGCATTATTTAATGGATAATTTCATGGCACAGGTGCTCAGATTGATCCTTTTCTGTGACTGTGACTGGTATCTGCAAAAAGGGTGTAATGACTTTTTGAGTTGAGCAGAGCAATGCCTCTATGTATTCATTGGACTGTTCAGTTTGAAAGAGAACATGGAAAGCTGCATTTAATTAAACAAGCCTTTTATTAACTCGACTTCAGATGAATCTAGATGAAACAGTTCCACCATACACAGATATTCATTATATTAACTAAGGGGCATTTACATTTAAGACAACCCACTCAGTTCTTTTAGTGGGAATTTTCTAGGCACCAGAAAACAGGTTTAATGTATCCAGCTCATCACTTGAGCAGTCAAATCAGCACTTACTAATTCTAGGTGAGCCTTTAAGAAAACAGTTGTAAATAGGTTTTCTAGTACTAAACCATATATTTTTTATGTTGTCTGATAGCTGCTGAAGTCTCTCACAGCAGCTGTCATTGACAGCTTGTTTCAGTGGAGCTATTCTGTTGACTCTGCTAATAATTTACACTACCCTAAGGACCTCCACCTCATATTTTATTGTATTTTTGTCCTATAATACATATTTTATTTAATATGGAACACATTTTGGATTCGTTTAGATACAACATTTATGATTAACAAAGCAGAGGATGAAGACATTTGCAATGCAAATTTGATACATATTTATATGTAGGTAATGGATTTAAATGATGATGTAGTCAGTGTAATGTAACTTGATGCAGATGTAAGTGCTTAAGAAGTAATTAAATACAGTTTTCTATAACATTAATTAGAGGGTCCTGAATGCTTTCATATCAGTGGGTTCATCTAGAAATTAAATTGAACTGGTTGTGCCATTTACACTAGTAACTTTGTTTTCAAAGAGTGGAAAGATAAAACTGTTTTATTTGAGCATTTAACATTAATTTCAAAGAAAACCTAAGCTTTTTATGTCTAACATTAACATCTGACGACTACATATTGCTCCATTTCTCTCTTTTACCAGTTGATCAAAAGATGAGCTCAAGCAAAATGTCTAAGCTCAGACAACCTTGTACTTGTGTGCGGCTTTAGAATCCGACCTTGATTCTAAGCATAGAGCCAGTCTGGGCTGATGTTGGGATCTCTGTTTTATTGACACAAATGGCAGTTTCTGGTGATGTGACTGAGCATTTTAGACTCACAGGAATACATTTAAGAGACTGTGACACTAACATTTCTGAATATGATGCATGAAAAATGTTTCATTAGAAGCTAATTTGCAAGAGATGTAACATGGTAGTTAACTTTCTCCCTTAGAACAGAACTGAAAATTCTTTATTGTGGATTCTGGTGGGGAAAAGCCCATAAAGATATTTTACCCCTGTATGCAAGAAATGCATCTGGCTGAGAAATCTGTATGGGTGCATTTGTGTCTGCTGAGGGAGACAGATTTTTCTTCTTCCTTTCCCCTATTCAAACCTGTGATGCTCAGAACTGACACCTTGGAGTCTGCAGTTCAAATGTGTAAATAACAAAAAGAAGCTTTAAGGGCTTTAGCAAAAAACTAAAGTGGAAATTTGAAACTAAACTGCTGCTGTTCATGAGTTTTCTGAGGGTAACAGGAAAAGCTTGGCTTGAGGGGACTGATGGAAGAGCTCGTGCAAATCTCTAGTGCCCAAGGCTGCACCTTCCACCCTCTATCTGCTGCTTCAGAATAGCTCCAGCTGCTTCTGGGTTATATCCAGCCAGACCTGGTCCCAGGTAAACCCAAGTGCTTAAGGTGATTTCTTGGAGCTTATTTAGATGGCTGAACATGTCCTTATGGAGTGAGATAGGTGAGGAGAGGACACTCGGGAACATGTGTAGTGCAGCAAAGACATTTAGGGAAGGGGTCACTTCTTTGCTCCGGGGCACAGGAGGGGTCGTGAAAGCAAAGCATTGGTTACATGCTGTGTGATGGAGGACTGAGAAGAAGCAGGGTGTAAATAATTGCTCCTGACTGGACTTTTCTATCAGAAAAAAGGTCTGACAAGTGGGTGTCATTTGATGTGGATGGGCCAGGGATTGCTAAATGTTGTGTCAGGTTTTTGTGTGCTGGAGCTCTGTTTTCATTGAGGAGTGGAGGCAGTAAACTTGCTTTCCTGCTGCTGCGTTCACAGTCCTCTAGGCACAACTGTCAGAAGCTTCAGGCCTGCTGTATTTGTTATTAACAGCTGATTAAATATTGTGGTTAAATCTCTAGCTTAATATCCTGATGCTGTTATATACTTTCATGTTTGGTGGTTGCAGGACAAAATGACAGGAAATAAATGACTAGCTGAGATTTTGCTATGTATTTGAAATAAATGTATGGACTCTTCAGCTGTTTTTCTTTTTTTTTTTTTTTAACTATTGTATAATTTCTTGTTTATATTAAAGTGAAGTAATGTATTTCCCCATTGCTAGGGAAAGGCAGCTTCAGTATTTTTACAATGTCCTTTTCTGATTCAGTCTTGGTTTTTACATTCTGCTTGGGGTTTTGCTAGATAATAAACAAAGTGGGTCTGATTCCTTGGGAAATAAAATATCCTAAGCTGATTTAGTGTTGTCTTCCAAAACTTGCTTGCAAGAAGTTTCCTGAAGCAAACTGGTGTTTCAAAAGCTAGTCCTGAAATGTGTATTCATCTCTGAGCTGAAAAGAAAAGGTTCCGGAACAAATCATTTACCACTTAAATGCAGCCAAGGGAATATATTTATGGCAAAAATGACAGCTTAGCAAAACACTTCATTATAACAGAAAGACAAATCAGATGGGTTTTCACACAAACAAATGCATGTAGACCTCAGTCCTGCTGTGCAAAGGCAAAGTTCTGTGTGAGGGACATGAAGACTAAATGAGTTTACCTTCAAAAATGTTACGACTATCCTGCTAATCAGTGTGAGGACTCACAAAGTCAGACATAGGAGCTTGATTGACTCTGATTGACTGCAACCATCCTTTTGAAAAACGCACAAGAGGTCTTTTCAGGGGAGTCCTACGTCATCCTGGAAAACTGGGACAGAGCTGACCCACTGAGTAAACAATTCCTTTCCATTGTATCTCATATGGAAATGCTCTCTGACTTACACTTTATTCTCCTGATTTGAATCTCAGAGTCTGAGTAACACTAACTTGACATTTTCTGACTACTTTAAGAAACAAAGAGCTAAAGAAAACTAGAAATGCCCTAGGAAGGGAAGGACATTTTCAGCTGGAAATGTGGTCCTTCTTGTATACAGTTGCCACTTGCAGAAAACATTCCAGATATCAATGAGGACAAACAAAACATACAAAAGCACAAATATTTTGGTTTTAGCAACATCAAGGAGCAGAATTGACTAGGGAAAGGGCTGTGACAGCAGGATTAACAAGCCATGTACACCCAACAGAATCAGCATCAGGGAGTTTGTTCAATTCCAGGGATCAGAACAGACTGAAGCCCGTGTGTTCTCAGTGACAATAGATATTACCAATTGCACCATTTTAAAAACAATTAAAGGAAAAAAGGGAAAATACTACATCAAACTCAGCTGTCTATACCAGAACAAAAGCAGAACACAAATGGTTACCTGAGATTCTCATCCCTACACTTCTAGCTCTTTAAAAATAAAAGAATGATCTAATTCCTCCATTAGGCTTTTATTCTTTTATTTAGTCATTTGCCTATCCCTTCATAAAAGGCTTCTCACTTGAATGTGTCATCACCTGAACAGTGTGAAATTTTGAGGCATTATGGGAAAGCAAACTTTACTGTGCTTTTACTTTGTTACCAGT